AAAGGATATGATTAAGAGCAGAGGCTTGAGAAATTATTCCTATATTTGTCATTACTGGGAATAATAGTTATGATGATGGTATGAAGGACAGCTTCTATGAGGAATGAGTTTACATGATATTAGTAATGATAATGGAGTTAGGCCAGTAAACTTTGTCACATCCAAAAATCAGACTATCCAAAGTACAATGTTCCCACATCATAATATTCATAAATTTACTTGGACATCTCCTGCTGGAAAGACTTATAATCAAATTGACCATCCCTTTATAGGAAGGAGACAGCATTCAACTGTATCTGATGTTCAATCATTCAGGGGTGCGGATTATGATACTGACCACTATCTGGTGGTAGTAAAATTAGGGACAGCCTGGTAGTTAGTAAATAAACAATGCATAGATTTCGTATGGAGACGTTCAATCTCGAAAAATTAAAATGAGGAACAGGTAAAGAGTAGTATCATACTGAAGTTTCAAATAGGTTCACAGCCTTGGAAATCTTAGACACTGAGGTGGATATTAATAGAGCTTGGGAAACTATTAGAAATATTATAAAAATTTCAGCCAAAGAGAGTCTGTGTTATTTTGAATTGAAGAAGCACAAGCTATAGTTTGATGAAGGATGCTCAAAATTATTATATCAAAGGGAACAAACCAAATTTCAGTGGTTACAGTATCAAAGTGAAATAAATGGGGATAATCTGAACAATATAAGAAGTGAAGCCAGCAGACATTTCAGGACTAAAAAGAGGGAATATCTGAAAGACAAAATTAATGAGGTTTAAATGAACAGTAAGAACAAGAACATTAGAGGCCTGCATATGAGAATAAATGAATTCAAGAAGGATTACCAACCTATAAGTAGCTTAGTGAAGGATAAGATTTGTGATCCTTCACTGACCCTCACTTACAATTCATAAAGAAGTCTTTCGTCCCTGTGTTCAGACACTAACATCTCGTATCCTTGACAACCTTGTTCTGTACATGAAAATCTTATTCGTGATACTGTCATGACCATTTGGTATATGTTTTAATGACAAACCTCATGTGGACTTGGTATTAAAAAGTCATTAAGAAATAAAATATAAGCCACAAAATAAATATGCACTGTTAAATTTGTGATACCTGAGGGCAGTTGTTGGGCTGTTGATTGAGGGCCTGGATGTGGCTGAGTTCTCCTGTGCCCACATTATGTACACCCTTGCACTGTGATGATTTTACAGTGAAGATACTAAATTAAAAATCATTTCCATCCACAGTAATGGCCAAAATACTCAGATTCGCTTTTTCTGCCTCTAACTTGCCTTTCCTCCTTTCACTTCTGACTCTGAATGCCAGTCAGGAATTAGCTACCAGCAGATTTTCAAATCACATACATTTCTTGCCTGAAGTATATGATAGCTGTGTTCTGTGCTTCCCTTCTGTACCCCCTTATACCATTTTTGAAACATAGTGCTTCCTTTTAAATATACATATAATGCCACAATTCTAAATCAGTACTGGCTGACATGACAATCTCACCTTAGCATTCTTTTTTCTAATCTACAACAGTGAACCATATTTGCCTTTCAGTCTGATACCCAAATTATCTTTGTTCTTTATTTGATACAGGTTTCAATTAAGAAAATTTTAATGTGGGCAGTAAAACTGATACTGACATTTATCGTAAATATTTCTGTTTCTGGGCCCTTATTCTGGTAAGTGCTCTTTCCCTACCCTTCCATAAAATTTGTGCTTTATGTGTAAGTTTTCCATGAATTAAATTCAATGAATAATTTATATTTAGCATATATATGTACATATGCATTATTTCAGATTGTTATTATTTTGCAGAAAAACATCTGCATAGATCTGAATAGAATTTGATATTAGTGAAATGGCTGTTAACCAAGGTCCAGATCAGATTGATACAGTACACAGAGTAATATTTACTTTTATAAGGATAATAACAAGCTCAGAAATCAAACAAGTGAATAGGTATATACAAGTAAATGTTCTATTGCCCATCAAGGTGCATTAAGCATTTTGTATGGAATATTTTACAAACAGTAATAAAATTTACTATTTACTTGCAGCCCATGTTCAATATGGGCACAAACACTTCTCATTGTACTGTTTATTCTTTTATAGTTTGGTAGTAATTTTAAAAAGCTAAGTGGGCATGCCGAGTTGTACATGGAACCATACTATCTGTTTTTCTACATCAAACTTTTTGTACATCTAACATAACTATCCTGAATCTAAACTGCAAAACATCAATAAAGAAACTTTTCCATCTAACAAAATGAACTTTATTAAAATTCATTCTGAAAATATGTTTATGGTAATTGATGATTTGCATTAAACAATAAATTTTCATTTTCTCTCAAATGTAGGCAAGATGAAAGAAGCCAATACTGTGTCTACTGACCTACTTTGCTAGTGTTGAGCACAGCTACTATGAAAGCAGCAGCAAGTTACTTATAATATATAATTACACCAATGTATGGGGGCCTTTCTGACACTCTCACCAATTTAGCCATAGTCACGATGTGAACAATTTATTGTTCAGTCAATATCACATTCACTGTCCTTGTAAACCATCATTACTGGGCGGTTACCAACTGGAACCCGTTTGTACCGCTAAAACATTCAGAAGCATTGGCTGACTTTAATTCTTTAAAAGTGTTAATGAAAAATGTTTATAGCTGTGGAAGATGTTAGTTGAACAGACATTCGTGTAAAGCTGTATATGAAAGATACAGTATATTAATATACAAATGTCAAAATGCATCATGTCACAACTCAATAGTTAATAAAAAATGGCTTGGCAATTGGCAGTAATTCACTTACCAAAAATTAATTTCATTCCAGGCGATCATAAATGAGAAGTAGTAATGCTATAGCATCAAAATTCTCAATTAATGATTAAGTGAAAATAAATTATTCCCAGCTTCCATTATTTATAGAGACAGGAAACTGGCAGAAGTCAAATGCAAAAAACTGGGATACAAATTACAAATGAATTACAAAGAGAGATTTGTCTTTACCAAATTACAAGTATAACAAGCGTTTTTTTTTTAAAAGATCCCTTTTAGAGAATAAAATCAAAATAGATTTTAAAGAAAAGGATGTGAAGGTAAGGACTGACTTCTTGTAATGAGAATACTTGGACATTTGTGAACACAGCAATGAACCCTGGCAGAATTTGACTTCTTCAAAAGTGTTAGCCATGCAATACTCTACCTTCTGTGAGCACACAAGCAACTGGATTTTATTAACATTCCTCAGTTGACTAAAATAATAGCTTGCAATGTCATATTATCCCTCTTCTCCTTAAGCCTGTACTATATCATGTCTCTTCTAATTTTGCCTGCACTCACATGCAGGCAGTGTAAGCCTGAAGGAACTGACTGATAACAACTGTGGTAAACTGGTTGGAGGTGGCAGATCATGCATTATCCAATTGCTTCTCCTGTCAGTACATGGAGTACCAATGAACTATAAAAGCAATGCTTTCTATTTTATTTTTCAAAGTGTTAGCCAGTTTAACACAATTAGTATGAATATTCTACTCCTGTAATGAATTGTTGAGTATCTTAAAAGCAGGAAATTTCTGAACTGGCTGTGTAACTATCAAACTTTAAAGGAAGGCCATGAACGACAGAACTAGTTACAAGTAGTATCTGTTTACATGTATCAACCAGATGTTCTTACTAAAGCACCTACTAATGGTAAGTGACCTAATTAACTAAAAATCTACTTCCGTGGGACAGAATTCTTCTTGAAAAGCTAACATCCTTTTATGGAACCTGGACATCAATTACCTTATTTACAAGGAGCCACCAATATTAACCTAGTGAAAAAAAAACTGCTTGTCTGTGTGTAAACCAAGTATGTTTGAACAACCCATTACATTAAACTCTTATGGCATTTATGACTTCATTATCATTATCATTCATTATCATTTTAATTCATTAATCCTGAAACCATACCGTAATCAAGATAGATTTCATTAACAGAAGTTATATTAAGAGAAAGCTTGATTCTGTCACTTTCCCTGTTCAAAATAATTACATAATTAGGGGAAATATTAGATTACTATCTTTTGGGATGTGACAATGTATAGTTTGGTAGGTTGGTATTAACACTTTGGAAGAACCTGCTAAGCAGCAGGCTTCACCAAAATACATATCTATCAAACTACACATTGTCACATACTAGAAGATCACAATCTAAATATGCACTGCTGTGGGAACCTCAGATGTCATATGAATAATATCAGCCATACATGACAGCAGGGCACTAGAAATATATTAAGTTTCTTAACATGATTTAGTTAATGGAGACCAGCGGCAAATACATTTTCTAATCCTTGTGTAATGTGCTAACAATTTTATAAACAAAAATTTATGATTGTATATGAATAGAAAGAAAGTTAAAGAATGAGTTACTTTCGTTTCCAGAATTTAAATACAGTACATACATCTGTTTTTTTTTTTACATCTGTATATATCTTGTAACAAATTTGTCTTTAGCAGGGGCAAAATTGTGGGCAAGTGGATTTTTTTAAGTAGCTAAATGATTTACGTTACATTTCTGGACCCCTACATGAAAGCACAGTTTCGAGATGGCTAGGTAACGCAGGACAAAATAAATGTGCTATTCTCAGAAGTTCAGTTCGTACATCCGCTCCCTTTCCGATGAATATGAATAATAATACATGTGAGTTTCATACTCAGTATCTGTAAACGTGTTTGCAGTGTACATTGTTCAATATTAATTTGGTTCACACATGTATAGGATGTATATGCAAATTAAAAGGTTCACTTAATTTACTTTTCAATTAATTCATACATAGCATATGTCAAACGTCCTTATGCCTGTACTGTATGTAGCATACATATAAGTGAAATGATTCTGTATTTTGAGACATGAAGATGGTTTTAATCTCTCTTCAGTGATATCCATGTATGCTTACATCCAAACTTCCTGTCTCATGAACCACTCTGGCTGTACCTACCTGGGGGCAACCCTGGCTTGAACCATGCTGTTGGCCAGAACAAGGACCTCCTCCCACCACTGCAGCACAAGCACCAGAGCCTGGTACCTTGAGCTGTTCTTTGTAGTCAGGCTGGTATGGCAGAAGCATGCGAATTTTTCCCCAACGGTTGAAGAAGAGTGCAATTGCAGCTATCCAGACGACTAGAACCAGCAAGACAATTCCCACCTCCACGCCTCGCACCTGGATGTTCTGCTGTGGGTTTTTTGAGCTGGGTAGGTCTTCACTATTTGACGGAACTGTAGTGGGCACCCCTGTAATGATTGAGTCTGGATGACGCTGTGCAGAGGTATTTGGAGGTTCAGGAGGTTCTGTAAAGTATCAAATACATTTAAATAATGAATACAACAACATTTTGATATCTGAACTGAAGGAGCACTCTGCAGTGTGACATATTATTAGTTCTTATTCATGGAATAAACAACATCATAATGGAGAGGAACAATTGAATATGCAACAGATAAGTGATATAAAGAAATGCAAATTGAAAATTATTTTTATTGTCTTAACCTGTTAAAGAAAAGCTGTAAATTTCCCTATCATGCCAAATTAAAGCAATTTTTCCTTCTGACAACAAAAATAACAAAAGGTAACATTCAATAAATGTTACTGCATAGCAGAAATGTTTCTGTTTTTGAATAATGTGTTCTCTTTCTAGAGGTTTTTCAATTTCTGCTGCTCATTTCTGAAAGTAGATGGAAAGGATATACTTATAAATTGCTCCAGAAATGTTACCACTTTTATCTTACTGATGACTGATCTACTGTCTGGTTTTGGAAGAACTCTTGTCACAGAACTTCACATTGATATCTAGTACTTTTTAAAATTTCTTATAATTTTATACCATCTATATATAGTGATTCCTTAATCCATGATGAAATACTGTCCTTGTTAGATCTTTTCAAAAGAAAACAGTGACTAGCTCAGTAGGTGTTTATAGGTCATTTTGTGTTATTTTCATCAGAGATCTGTTTTGGCAGTATGCATCTCTATGTTGTGCCAATATGTTTTCATGGTTTATGATGTTTATTTTATTGAAAAAGAATATTATATGCTATTTTAAGTACAAATTTAAGAACCTGAACATGTTTAATTCAGTCAAGGTGGCATGGTTACATGTGAATTACTGAAATATGCTAACACATTGGCCAGCACGATTTTCATGATATTAAAGGAAATACAGTGTTTTCCTTAGTGCTACACAACTTTTAAATTCTACGAAAATTATACAGTGAAACAGCAACATGGCATTCCTTCATTCGAGGTTCTACTACATTTAAGGTTCTTTTGATGATCCCAGTCTAATAATTTCAGTGTCCATTTACAATTTGTCTCAGTTTACTCTTCAAATCCAATGGTCCCAAAATAAATCTCAAATGGTGTTCTGATTGCACATTAATATTGATTACAATTTTGATCCCAAAACTTAATGATGTGTATTCTACTGGTGCAAATTAATGACTTTTGTCTTATACGAGTATTGCTAGGTGATTAATTACAAGTTTCTGCCTTGAATTGCCTATCATTGACAGGATGAATTATGACTCACAGCTGAACACCAGACTTGTTTCACATCTTATCACATTAGTATTTCTCCATTAGGAGACCTGTTTTCAATATCTGACATACCCAGAGACAAGATATCCTAACTTTTCAGATTTATATCTTGGTAATATATACACATATATTTTGTGTGTGTAACAAAATAATTATGAACTTTATAAAATTATGATTAAAACAGAAACGTTATATAGAAAGGGACTAGGGCTACCTCAGTACATAGTGTGCAGTCATGTTATTTTCAATAAATTTTCATATGTATTGAAATTTAACTAAAAAAAATTAAAAATGGATTTAATGTATTTTCAAAATGCGTGACATTACTTCGATTTGCTTATCTCCCCATACTTTAATTTTTGTGTATTTTAGTTATGAAGATTCGGCCATGAGAAACTCAAATCTCACATCTTTTGGTTACACTTGTAAGCAAATGCGACCACAACATTCTTAGTGGAAATTTGTAGAGGAGAGAACATAATTAAGATGTCAAGCATTCGTGTCATCACAAATCATCCATAAAACCTGTCATCTCACAGCATGGAAGACATCATATGTTATTCAGTTAATGTGTCTGAAAAACACAAATGTGAAAAAATGCACTCTTTGAAAGTTAAGTTGAAATTTATTTTAATATACAGAAACTGGTGTATGTGTGTGTGTTTGTGTGTCATATACCTATACATAATCACCAAAGTGCATCCCTGCATCTGTTCCACCCCGTTTCTCCAAAACATCGTGTCACAGAAAAATCTGATGAAGCTGAAAGTTGTAGGATTTGAGGTTTTCACAGCTGTAATTATGAAGAATGCCGTCTTCTGGGATGTGGCACCATGTACATCTTGTTCACAAGATCTACATGGCGCCACATCCCAGTAGATGGCATTCTTCATGATGAGAAATGTTCCTCTTGGAGGGATATCCCTGGAAAAATCGTTAATTCCATTTTAGTGTAAACCAACTTATTTCCCCATCATTTCCTCTGTAAGGAAGGTACAGTGATTGTGATAAAAATGAGTTTGTGACAACAATGGAATCAATTCTAGGATGCTGGGGAAAACCCTTCTGCCATTACTAGCAAGAAGGGAGAAAACCAAAACTATCTTCTGTCATTACATGATGTAAGGGAAAACCTACATTATCTACTAATTTTGTTAGAATATGAGGGAAAACCAAAACTATTATCTGCTGTTGCTAGGATTTGAAGGAAAACACAGACTATTCTCTGCTGCTGCTATCAGGGAAATTCCAAACCATCTTTTTCTCTTGCTGGGATACAAGGGAAAATCTGAACTACCTTGTGCTGATGATGTGAAGTAGCTGATTTAACTTGAAGCAGAGAGAGGAAGATGGAAGGAAGGGAATGATAATAGGACAAGAGGTGGAAAAGAAATACTGGACAATAAGAGAAATTTTTCTCCCCCCTAAAATTTGATTTTTCTGCAAGGGAATGCTTGCTCTCTTATAATACATTAAAAATGAAGCCAATACTATAAATATAAATTTTGCTATTGTCTTTTAATAGTGCATTTCATTGTCTGAGACTCTCTGACAAACTGAGGAATTCATCAGGTTAGAGCTTTCCACAGCAGTGAATTTTTGGACTGTGATCTTCTGGATTATGGACACCATGTATTCGGGTGAGTTGTTATCAATATTTTGGCAGAACCTGCTGTATCCATCTTCCCTGAGGATGGTAGCGCTGGTCTCCTTCAAAATGTTGTCTATCACCAAGAAGACTACATAGCTTCATAATACAGAAGAATATAATTAAAACTGTGGAAAGCAGTTAACTTTTAAAAACCGGAAATGGTAAAATCAGAATTAGGCTTAAATGAATGTGATGTTATCAGCACATTGAGAAATGTATTGTTTTTCGTTTCTTGTATGTGGGGGTGGGGGGATATGCTTACTGATGTCAGAAGGAACAGTGCAATGCACAGGATCCTATCATGGGTTGAAGTCTGTGCATCACTTACGTAGGTCAAGCTCTGAATACCAACATTATATTAAAAAAAAATAACCTATTAATGAACTAATTGTAAATGATGGGAAGAAGCAGTTTCATTGCACCTTACAAATGTATTGGTATAATAATCAGATGAGAATATTATAGGGAATTAAGAAAATATCTTCTGTTTTTGCAGGGCATGCAGTTTGGTCAAACTAAAGTCAAAAGTCTGCCTAGTGAGTAATTGCAGTGAAGTCTTCGATGATAAGTTGTTTCAATATTTACTAAAATTTATGTTTTGGAGACTGTCTCTGTCATTATCATCGCCTTGGACAGTCCCTGAAATGTCACAATTTCATTCTCTTTTGATGTAGGTGATCATTTGAGAAGAAGTCCTTGCAGGAGGGCAAAAGTCAGTTGAGCAAAGTTCATACTCCTCTACTGAATGTAAATATGATAGTGTTCATCACATACAATGAGGCCTCCGACATTGCTTCATGCAAATGTGTAAGATTTATGCTATCTATGCAAAACAAAACAAAAATAAACTCTGTGGCCTGTAGTCTGCAAGCGAACTATACTGACCAAGTGACCACCACTAGTTGGCAAAGTTAGTTCCAACTTTTGCGGACAGAGGGTGCCGTGTGGTCAGCACAACTGATCTCCTTGGCCATTAATTTCGGTTTTCTAAACTGGAGCTGCTATTTCCTTGAAATAGCTCTCAGTTATCCTGACGAGGCTGAGTGGACCACGTTCCAGATCCACTACTTCTCAGAAAATCTGGTAGTGCCGGGAATCGAACCCGGGACCTCTGGATCTGTAGGCAGGAAATCTGACCACTAGACCACAGAGGCGGTAAGTGTAACACAAATTGTAAAATGCACACCGCATTTCTATATCTATGTTTCCTTGAGAGGAAGTCTGTCAGAAGTTTTGTAACTAACCTGTGTTTTATATTCTGCAATATTATAGAGTGTATTTTTGTAATTTGAAATTNACTCAAGTATGCCTATCAGCGGCACTTCTTACTACCATCTTTTATTCTTATTCATAACTTCTACCAACTCTGCTATTCTCCACTATAAAAGTAAAGTAAGTAAAGTATCCCTGTAACAGGCCGTGGATGCCCATAGGGTTGTGAGATATTGAGGTTCCCACATTTTATAGACAATCGGCTCATAGATGGCGGCAAGGTTGTCAGCCCTACGCGCTGGCCGCCCTTAACCCCAAGAATATTCCAAGAATATTTCTGGTACACATTTCTGTTAGAGGCTGATTCAAACCCAATGCCATAGTGCGGCTGGAAGGATCAGGTCAATTGAAAAGTCCAATGACCTCATCAGGTGTTGAACCCGCGCCCTTCCAGCTTGTAGCATAGTTAACCGACTACGCTACCGCGTGCCCTCTGTTCTTTGCTATAAGCTAATAATTAATTTATATAATGCAAAATAGCAACATATGCTGCCACCTTCTTAACTCACCTAAAACTTCTTCGTACAAGAAATAAAGGGTTAATATTTCTGAAGTAAGTCTTACCCATTGTGAGGAATATAGTTGGTCTGCTGCGGTACCTCCTGCCTCCTTTGACAGCGACCACTGTGACTTGGTACTGTGTGCTAGGCACTAGGTTGTTTAGGGTGATGAAGTTGGAATTTCCAGCAACCACATCTGATATTCTGGAACTAACCGGTTACTCTGTCAACTTGATACCCTCTGTACTGTTACCCCAAAAACAGGTGCGTTTAGGAAATTCATCCACTTCAGATGGTGTTGTAGTCTCTGCATTCATTCATTTATTCGTTTTCTTTCTTTCTTTCTCATTTTTTAATTTAATATCATGCTTTTTAACTTACTGAAATCATGGTGAATAATATGGTAAATGTAATGTCAGTTTTAAGCAAGTGCAGGAAAGCATTAATAGTCCTATTATCTGTACATCCATCTGTCTGTCTGTCTGTCTGTCTGTCTGTATGTATGTGTGTATGTACGTACACATGCATATCTGTCTGCCTGACCGACCGACCAACGAAACAACTTCTTGAGAAACCTACAGGTACTCAGCCACTGAAGAAATTCCCAGCATTTTATCAAACCTGACAATGAATTTTCATGCTCACAAGAGCCCACCAATAGTCCCTACCCCAACTCAGATGAACCTAGTCTACACCCTCCTCCCATTCTCTTTCTTAAAGATATGTTTCAATATTATCATCACATCTAAATAAAGGTCTTCTTATCGGTCTCTTTACTTCAGGTTTCCCTACCAGAATTCTGTATGTATAACTCTTTGGTGAGAAATACAAACTGTGAACCATCTCATCATGAAGTTGTCTCCAGCTTTGCATTACTTCATCCATCCTAGGTCCAAACGTTCTCTTCAGCACCCTGTTCCCTAACACCATCAATCTATATTCTTCCCTCAGCAAGAGAAACAAAATCTCACACCCACATGGAAGTACAGGGAAAATTATAGTTCTTTGTATTTTAGTCATAAAATTTTTAGGCTGCAGATGACAAAACAAATAATACTGAATTGAATGGCAGCAAGAATTCACCAGAATTAATTTGCTCTTAAATTCTTCATGAATCAAATTTTGATTTATTAACATTATTTCCAAATATCTGAACTTTGCCACATTTTCAAAGAATCTATCAACTACATTTAAGTTATGATTTTGTCCTGAATTCTGGAGGCAAGACATCAACATACAGTTAGTGTTCTTTGTGTTTACTTCAGGATAAATATTTATTAAAATTTATACATTTATGTTACCCCTCTAGTAAATTAACATTTCAGCATGAGCCAGGAGTTGATGTGTCCCATTCAATTTCAGTCCTAACTGATTTTCCTGGTTATTCGGCATTGAGTATCCTAAAGCAAAGTTCAAGAGCAATGGCAAAGAAATCATCCCTTCTTTCAGATCATTCTGGACAGGAAATGTGTCAGACAAATAATTTAACTACTTACACTTTTCCACAGCTTACATGTAAGCACATTTTAATTAACCTAATTATTTTTATGGGTATAGTAAACTCAATGAGAATATTAAATATTACTTCAATCCTAAGTGTATCATATGCTTTCTTGAAGTTTATAAATAATGGACATACTATCTTGCTATACTCCCAATAACTGACAAGTGCAAAAAAATTTAGTCAGTATTCGATTTATTAAATCAAAATCTATACTGATGATTCCCAATAATTTAATCTAGATATGCATATTGGAAAAAATTTATATATAGTAAGTACACCTTTGTAACTACTTCAGTCAATTTTGTCAACCTTCTCTTCATATGAAGAGGGAGGTGGGACTCAAAAACCTGTAAATCTGTTAAACACTACCAACAAGCATACTGTTATTTGCAAGAATGCATTAATTGCAGATCATGAAGAATACCTGTATGTGCAACTGTAAAACAAAATTCAAAAAGTAAAAAAAAAAGAAGCTATTTGTGGAGGTTAAAGCAAGGCTCTCACAAGTGAAATTCAAAAGTCTTTCGAGTTCATTTTATCTTTTTGTAAAAATTTATATACAATATCCTTCATTGCCTTCTTCATATCTGAAGCAAATAAAATGTCAATGGTATGTGCATTTACATATGTCTGTTCATATGCTTATAACAGAGTCTGCATATCCACATTAATCCAGTGACACATTACTTGATTTTCTGTACTCAAAATAACTATGAAAAATTACACAGAGAATTAAAAATAAATACCTCAAAATTGTCACAGTGTTCCTATATAGACATACTATAACCACTTCCTTTAAGTAAATCATTTGGACCTCTCTGTGTAATAGTCCACTGCTGACAAAGTAACTAATGACAATAGTATGACTGAATGTCCTTTATCCCTCAAAAAGATAGAAACTTCCAAACTTCTGTTAACTTCATGAGGAATTCTACACAGTTGGCCCATACAATCAATGAGGTGAATAACTTTACTTGCAGGTTAAAATTAACTTTGAAGAATACTTTATTAAATATTCTGCATTCCAAGAAATGCTTTAGACAAAAGTATATCAACGACAAGGTAGAGAGCATGAAATCTAGATTAGAGAAAAGTTTCATCTGTTCTTTGAATGAGTGAATCTTAAGTTCCTCAATTTGGCCACGCCATAGCTCAAGTGGTTAGTCGCTGGCTTCCCACCGCAGCGGCCCATGTTCGATCCCGGGTCTAGTCTAGTGGAATTTGTGGTGGACAAAGTGGCACTGGGCCAGGTTTTCTCCCAGTACTTCGGCTTCCCTTGCCAATCTTCATTCCACCAAATTCTCCATCATCATAATCACCCGGGGCAGGCTATAATATGCCAATCAGTGGCTGCCGTGCCGAGTGAACCCAGTTGGACTCCACCTCCCACTAAGTGAATTAAAAAAAAAATAGGTTCCTCAATCATACTGCTTCAATTACACTGTTTCATAGTGTCTGATGGTAATGGTAGTATTAATGATGGAATGATCATGAAAGGTGATGTGGTAATGGTCTGTTTTAAGATATGAACCAGTTGTTCATTTGGACAGACTAAGAAAAGCCATTACAAACTCAGTGAGAATAGCCAGTAGTCATGGAAACTCTTAAATGCACATATGAGTGTGTGTCTGCTATACAACACTGCTGATATTTCATTCACTGATTATATGCACCACAACACAATTACATTTGTGCTTACAGATTTATCTTCAATGATATATGTATCATTAAATGCTCAAGTTTTCTAATCTTACTTGGAGACAGTGGACTTGCTTTTTAAGGTTACAAAGGTAATGGAGAAAAAAAAACATTTTTAATATAAAGGATATTCTTCTTTTGATACAGTAGTGCTGCGGAATACTTTAAGGCAACCCTCAGACCTCGGCACAGACTTGAAGTGGATTTCAAAGAGTTATTTTTGTTGCAAAAATATTAACATTTTTATGTTCATTTGTATTAAAAAAGGGCTCTAAAATTCCTACTGCTATTTTGGGGGGGGGGGACATCTGCAGTTTGGATGAAGGGCTGTGGCTCTCCTGACAAATGCCATCTCCAAAATTGTAAAGTAAAGCTATCCCTGTAACAGGCCGTGAAGGCCCATAGGGTTGTGAGACGTCGAGGCTCCCACATTATCTAGAAAATCAGCTCAAAGATGGCAGTAAAGTTGTCAGCCTTACTCCCCAGGAAAATTATTTAATTAATTCCTGATACTCATTTCTGTTAGAGGCTGAGTAGACTCCAGGGCCATAGTGTGGCTGGAAGGATTAGGTTAATTGAAAAAAATCCAATTACCTCATTGGGACTTGAACCCGCGACCTTCCGGCTTGTAGCATAGTGCCTCAACCAACAATGCTACAGCAGTTGGCACCTTAAAACTACTCAAAAGAAGAAAATTCTTTTAAGTGAAGTAGGAGGAATAAATTAATGCAGAAAGCTATACTGCTTACTGCAACCAGATGAATGTCCTTGTGAAAAAGAAGGCCACTGCTAGATGACAGGCATAAAAATTTATATTGTGACATATAGCATTTCCATAAATTTATATTTCAATGATGAGAGTGCTCTTCAGAATTGAACTGGAATGAGCCAATTCATTCTTCTAACAACAATTACTGATCTACTGGGACCGATTTAAGGGGAACAAACTGGGTTAGTTGCCCTTGGGGCCTCCACAAAGCAGAAATCATATCCACAGTTTTAATTTTGATATTTGTCATAACCTGAATTTGTTGTTACTGATAGGGGCTTTCTTATTTTTATTGTCCTGGGGCTCCCACAACTCTAAATCTTGCCCTATTCTTCTGACAAGCTCATAAGGTGGTATACAAAATCCCCAGCAGCATTCTTTGCAGTTTAATAAGTTTACTTGGAACTCAGCATGGGTGAAATCAATTCAGTCCATATTTTCACACCATACTTTTTCAAGATCCATTTTTATATCCTTCTTTTATTCATGCTATACTGTTACAAGGGATTTCCTTCCTTCATGTCATCTGATCATATTTTATACGCAGTTTCAATTTCTACTATTCATCCTCATTTCATCCTCCTTGTTGTAACTACTTTATCAATATGAGATGAAGAGTACATGTTATGAAGCGAATGTTGTATATTTGGTTCCATCATCATGTTATTTCTTGTTTCTTAGGTCCAAGCTTTCTCCTCACTCCTCCATTCTCAACCACATTCAAACTAAGTTCTCTTCATTAAGTGAGAGATCAAATTTTAGATCCCTATAAAAGAATCAGTTATTCCATCAATATGAACACATTATAATATCATAATAATTTTTAATATGTACAGCAAATATCTGAAAGAAATATGTTCCTGTTACATCCGTGATATATATACAGTGTCCATCTTGCAGTGCATCCACTTTCACCTGTCACTTCACAACATGTTTCGGCGCCACAGTGCCATCATCAGGTGCTCCATTTACACTAATCTATTGCATTGCATGCCATTATGTCAATGTAAAATTATTTAAAAAGTATTTTTAAAATATTCGCCAGTTATAATAAATGTTCCTGTTGCTGTTGCCAATTCTGTCTGATTCTTCAGACCACTTCATTCACTCAGCAATGTAATTTTACAAGATACTTTCGAAAAGACTCTCTAAATATTCAGTAAATACATTGTTTCAAACAAATTGATCATAGTAAACACTTTAAACTGTCACTTCTTTATATGACAGACGATTTTTAGACAAGTTTTGAAGTCTAAAATAAATTTAGCTGATGGACTTTGTGTACTTTGCAGTCATAAAAATGGAAGAATACGAGAAGCATACCCACTCCGTTGCTACTCTATTTAATGTGTGAGAACTTCCCTACCCATTAAAATTATATGTATTTATGGGGAATTCTAACGTCTAATATTTTCAAAAATTGAAATAATTACTTCACAAAATTTTCAATTCAGTCATAGAACAATCACTGTATTGAAACTGTGCATATATTTTTCTAATTTTACAGTAGCTTAGTGGGAATAGTGACTACACATGTATGCTCAGGGCTGAATGACAGAAGAACTTGGGTGCAATTTGAGACAGGAGAACAAAATTTTTCTCTTCTCCAATCTTCCAGACTGGTTCTGGAGCCTACCCACCCTCCTATTCAGATTACACAGGGAGCGTTCGCCCTGGAGATATAGCAAATGGAGCGTGAAGCTGACTACTCATCTCCATCCAGTGTGTGAAGCAATATTTTCGCCCCAATATGTCTTCATGATGATGTGGTGCTTAATTAAGCATTGGGACAAGTTTTTACCTTTATGGAAAATATTTAAACCATACTTAAATTATTATCCAAGAACAGTGAGTGATTTGATTTTTAAAATATTGTGAAAGCTACACTGAATTCCTTTTCTTCATATACTGAAATTGAAATTATATTACTGCAAAGATTTACTTCACAGGTCACTAGAACTTTATCTTTGCTGTCTTCTTGTATGCGATGCTGCAAAAGCCAGCAAAATTTTACTGACATATTGGAGGAATGAATTTTCTCCATCTTTAGAGTTGATGAGCAAGTCAAGAAGGCAACACTCAAGCAGCACTCTGCTTGCTGCTTACTTGGCTTACACTTTGAGCATGAAGATGGAGGCAGTACATTCCTGTGAAATATCAGTAAACTTCTACCAGACTACTCAGCACCGCATAGTCATAGTCACGCCCGTAAGATCCTTAAATTAATAATATCTTAAAAGTTTCAAGGTGGAAGCTCTATGACAGACTATTCTGTAAAATTCATACCACAGTTTCTATCAAAATTAGTATTTATAGAACTCTGCTTAGTACAGATTTATATAAAACAAATGTAAAGCCTCAGATCTGCAGAAGGAAGAAAAGAATGTTGGGAGGTGGGAGTGAGTTACGAAAATAGGAAGGAGAAAAGGAAAGTGTGGGAAACGAAAAGAAAGAAACAACAATTTTGGACTATAAATATTATTGCTAATCAGATAACATATGATATGAGGCAACTCCTCTTACATACCTGGCATTTGTAGGTTTGTAATTGACATCATATTTTTCCACATTGTCCATGGTGGCTGACCATGACACCTTGACAGAATTCGGGCTCAGGAACACAATGGTGATGTTCTCAGGAGCACCTGCTCCTGGCATCGACCCTATCAGAGGGCACAAAAATTAGAAGATACATTCAACATTATAATCCCATATTTGTAGTCCGTAACATTATAACAAATGGAACTACAACTACTACAGCAAATATGGTAACTTGATAAATTTTGTGTCTGTTATTTTAAGAAGTTAAGAAGTTTATGTTCACTACAGATATTCAGTATTTTATAACTTTAAACAGTGAATTCCCTGATGATGGCTCCAAGTGAGCCGAAATGTCACGTAATTTAACATATTTAATAAACTCAGTTGACACAATGTGGTGATGATTTAATTACTTGTTTGTTGTGTTGATGGTTGCATACACACACATATAATTGCAGCATAGTAATTCTTTTTTAATTCGCTTAGTGGGAGGTGGAGTCCAGTTGGGTCCACTTGGCATGGCGGTCACTGATTGGCTTATTGTAGCCTGCCCCGGGTGATTAAGATGTTGGAGAATTTGGTGGAATGAAGATTGGCAGGGGAAACTGAAGTTCTCGGAGAAAACGGGCCACAGCGCCACTTTGTCCACCACAAATCCCACTTGACCAGACCCAGGATTGAATCCGGGCCACTGAGGTGGGAAGCCAGCGACTAACCGCTTGAGCTATGGCGCGGCAAATTGCAGCATACTAACAAACTCATGAAGATGCTGCATGCTGAACACTTAGATGTATTCTTAGGAAACTTAATATTTTTGAGATGGAAATTTTCATAATTAACATCTTATGGGTTATCTTAAAATTGAAGTAATACTTGTGGTGAATCAACAAAACGTACCTGAAATCTATTAAGAATATTGCTGATAATTTTCTGAATAAAGGCATGTTCTGGATATTACCACCGAATTTTATACTATTATTAACTGACCGTGATATCTTACCAACCAAACTCGCTCCATGAAGCACCAGCAGAGTTGCCAATATGACCATCCTATTGGTGCAGACAACAGGACTAATCCACTATCTGCCCCATTGAAGTGGCGATCTTCTTGGAGCTGAGAGGAAACTGGATATGTGTATGAGGTTGACAGGTTGACTCTCTTCGCGTCTAGTTGTGGCTGGAACATACGGGACGGAGAAGGATGCTTCGCCTTGTTGATTGCCTGGTGACAAAATACTTACAAATTCTTAGTGCTCCTGTAACTCAAATTTTGTGACACCGAGACAAACAAAGCATATTCACAGCATATCAAAGGGGGGTGTAAAACTCGTAAGTTCATACTAGTGGAAAGAACGTTTCCTTTTCCCTTTCATTTCTTTATCTTCTTCCCTCTTTTCTCCATTATTCTTCAGATTCCACAGTTTTGATGATGCAGCCACAATCTAAGTGAACATTACTACGCCGTAAGAACGACATAAGGTAAGCACATACAGAATGTCTCAGGTGTTTGGTGCCATACTTCAGGAGCGTACTGAGGGTTCCCTGTAGAACAACTTTGAAATAGGAACCCATGTCCGCAAACGTAAAATAGCAACGCTAGGGCAGCATTTAATATAATTTTGTTTAAACTTGGCGCCTCAATGTCGAAGAGCATGCACAGGCATATTACCCCTTCAAAACTCTCAAGACTCACCTCCTAGAGTAGATGTTGGAATTGGCGCCCTCCATTTTCAATGCTGCGTTACATCGACGAAAGGAGTTTTGGCGCACCCTTTCAAATATTCCAGGTGTACATGCAACAAGTATTCTGGCCAACAGCTCGAATTCATTATCCACAAGCGTGTCGTAGATCAGGCTTTTCACATAGCCCCAGACGAAATAGTCCAGAGGTGTCAAGTCTGGGGATCGGGGTGGCCAAGGCACTGGGCCTCCTCTTCCTATCCAACGACCATCCAGGTAGTCTCGTGATAAAATGCTGAAGTATGCCGGCGCTCCGTCATGCAGTATCCACATTTGCCTCCGCACAATCAACAAAGTCGGAAGGATACGTTCCAGGAACACCTTGTAAAAGGGCCCATTCAGTCGCGGTGGTAGGAGGAAAGGCCCAATAAAGCGATCGCCAATGATGGCCGCCCAGACATTGACAGAAAATTGCGCCTGGAGGTAACCAACTACAGTAACGTTGGGGTTTTCGTCAGCCCAAACGTGGCTGTTTCGACAGTTGAACCAGCCATCCCTTGTAAACTGCGCTTCGTCTGTGAGGAACACGCGATTCAGGAAGTTGGGCTGATGTAAAGACTGGTTCAGTATCCACAGACAAAATTGAACTCGCGGTACAAAGTCAGCTGGACCTACGTCGTGTACTCGCGTTGGATGATACGGATAAAGCTGTTGGGAGTGCAGGATCCTCCAAACACTTGATTTTAATGTCTACTACAATCCTGGCAATGGCACGAGTGCTGGGGGACGGCTGTTCCTCTATGCAATGCAGTTCGACATTGAGGCGCTAAGTTTAAACAAAATTATATTAAATGCTGCCCTAGCGTTGCTATTTTACGTTTGCGGACATGGGTTCCTATTTCAAAGTTGCTCTATATGGAACCCTCAGCACGCTCCTGAAGTATGGCACCAAACTCCTGGGATATCCTGTATCCTGTATCCTATTGTGTAAGTTGCTCGTATACCTATTTTGTAAAGTCTCTGCGCGTAAGCATTATGAGACGATGTTATAAGGGAGAGTGAAAGCAAAGATCAACGTATTCTAAATTTCGGTGCTAGATAGAGTGATTAGTTATCTTCGGGATCCGACCATTTTATCCCGGGAGGAAAGCCCAATGTGTTCACTGGAAAGGATGCTGGATCAATATGTGAAACTAACGATTATCCTTATGCTTGGTCACAGGGAAAATTATTGTCTTGTATTCACTGTATGCCAATGTGAATTTATTGACTAATACGAAAATTAGATACTAAATTGAAAAAAAAAGTTTCTAACCAATGATTCATTTGTTATTTGCAGGATTCTCGTTCAGACGCTTCCATTTACAATTTGGTGGGTATTCCCCGGAAAATCCAAGGTTGTTTTAATGTTTCATGAGGGCCGAAAGAACAGAGTTCGTAGGAAGTTTCTAATCTATGATTCATTTGTTACATGGAGAACTCTGGTCCAGGTTGGGACAGTCTCTGGGAAACCTATGACTATTTTATAGTTCCATGGATAAAAGGGCGTGGTTTTTGATAACTTTCTCTACTGAGATCTTCATACGTAAGTCAGGTTCCGTTATCTTCAAATCAACCCATATCCTATTTAAAATAAATATAATTAACTTGGTTTCACTACACTAATATTATTTAGATGGTCAGTCATATGAAGTGAAATGGACATGTTAAATTAATTTTCATTTCGAAGCCTTAATTAATGTTTTGGTTTTATTGCACATTTTATGTAAAATTTTAATGAAAATCGTTTGCTCTGAGCAACAGTTCAGAGAGACAAGCTCATAATGCAGAATGAGAGACAATTAAATACAATGGATGTGCCACCGCCGCTCTAAGCAAAACTAAATTACTCGTAGAACTGAACTTCATGTAATTTACTCAAATAACGTTTGTTTGCATTTCTTTATAGTACGTATCTCCATTAGCATTGTCTCACCACTGTAAGGCATTTGGGTAGGGAAGCAAAATGAAAAACATAAAAGGTCTGCGAATACTGACGTCCTCTTCCATACTTTTATTTCTATGCATAAACATAACTTGGTAGCTATCTGTGAGAATTTAATTTTCTCTAATATGTCTGAAACTTTAAGTTATGTTTACGATAAAGGATGACACGAGGCCGTGATAATTATATTGCTTCTTGTATTATACAATATGACATCAGGACTACCACGAGTGAGATGGGCAGGGCATGTAGCACGAATGAGACGTAGAGGAATGCATGTAGGATATTGGTTGGAAAGCCAGAAGGAAAGAGAGCACTAGGAAGACCAAGACGTAGGTGGATGGACGATATTAAATGGATCTTAGAGAGATAGAATGGGATGGTATGGACTGGATCGATTAGGATCAGGATAGGGACCGGTTAAGGGCTCTTGTGAACACGGTAATGAACCTTCGGTTTCTATAAAATGCTTGGAAGTTCTTGAATGGTTGCACAATTGGTGGCTTCTCAAGAAGGACTCAGGGTCATAAGTGAATGTCAAAATTCCAATCCAATGCCCTCATCTCAAAGAATAATAAAGAAATCTTTTTAGAATAATTTTCCTCATATTTGGGGAGAAAAGCTAATAACGAACAAACATCTGACTCGGAGATGTATTTTTGGGATGTATAAAAAGAATGATTAACTAAATACACTATATATTACAGGATATTACGTGATCTAAAAACAAAGGACAGCGAGGGAAATGCATCCGAAGGATATGAAGTTATCTGACACGAAAATGCTTGCACAGGAAACAGGTAACTAGCCAGTAAAACAGATCATCCTGAAATATTCAATGGAATACGATGAGCGGAAGAAAGAAAAGAATAAAGCCGTTTTCTTCAGAAGACATATAGGAGTGAAGTATTCTCGGAAAATCGAGGAATGATAGGTCAGGGATACACGACAGCACCACGCTATATTGGTTTTACTCTACGGCACTAACAAAAACAAACTCTTTGGTTTTAGTTCACAAGAGGACTATAACGACCGAGCGACCGCCGCTTGTAGGCGAAGTTAGTGCCAAATTTGGCGGATAGAGGGTGTCGCGTGGTCAGTGCAACGAATCCCCACGTTACGGCACTAACACATACTCGATTAACGTTAATTTTAAAATTATTAAAGGTGAACATATTATAAGGATCTTCCTTAACCATCTGTCTCAATTTCAGCGCTTTTTTTAGTTTACTTCCTTCTTCCTGCTAGATGAACTACTTCAGGTTTCAAAATAAATATGAAATGGGAAGAATATTGAAATACAAACTGATTTAAGTATCAAACAAAGTTGGCACATTCCTTAAGCAGGCAACGAGGGGCTGTAGGGTGCAGTAAGTTTCGCAGATCTCGCTGCTTTATGAGAATGGTCAGCTTTTTCTTTCGAAAATTCTTCTGCATATGTGAAGATAAAAGTCGTCCTTGTGCTTAACTAATTAAGCAGTACGCCATGAAGGAGTATGGGGAATTGATGTACAGATCCACGTTTTATTGACCTCGGCACTAGTTGGAGGTTAGTCGTCAGCTTCACGTCCCTGCTGCTTTACCCCCGGAAAAAAACCGCCCCGGTACCCACTGGATAGGAGGCTGTGTGGGCCTCAGAGCCAGTCTGGATGATGTGGAGAAGAGAAAATTCTTGACTTTAACAAGACTCGAACTCCGATCCCTCGGTCGTCCTGCCGTAGCCAGTTGCCATACCGATTGCTCTAGCCCTGCTCCTTTTAACATAAGTTTTCATATTAAATTTGACCGTGTTAAACATGGAACAGACAGTTCAGTTATGCAACATAACGAGATTGAGAACGTTACATATTGGAGAAAGGCTTTTTATTTCAAAAGGCCCACATTTGGACGGCTTCCGTACAATAAGCCGCCTCTGAGAAGCCTGTCAAGTTATGCTCGTGTTTGAACACAGAGAACGCTTATGATGGGATATACAAGAATACACCTTTCTTTTCCTTTTTGTAATTACATATAGGAAGAAAAAATGTAAAGTTGCCACTGCGTTTAACTAATTAAACAGTGCCACGAACGTGTATAAGGCAGGGTAGGCAGACGTATTCTTGACCTCGGTTTTACCCCAGGGAAAGAGTCTCAGGAACTGCGTGGGCCCCAGAGCCTGTCTGAGTGTGAAGAGAAGAAAGACCTTGCCCCTACCGGGACTTGAACTCCTGCCCCTCGGCCATCCAGATCGTAGCCAGTTGGTATACCGACTGCGCTACCCCGGCTCTTCAGAAAGAAGAATTTTAAAGTTTCCAGGTTAATTTGATAAGAAGACGAGGAAGAATAAGAAGCAGGATGGACGAAGAACTGTGTTATATTTCATGTCGATGTATGAAAGCTGTTACTCCAGTTGTGTAACAGTGGTTCACGAGGCAAGACGTCCAGCGTTGGTGCTACTTGGCTTCCACCACGATTATCCAAAGGTTCGCACTGAAATGCTGTGCAAAATAATGTTCCTTTTAGGCAAAATAGGAACATGATGAAACGGTACATTAGCTGTATGACTTACAGATGAGGAAGGCCGCGCCATAGCTCAAGCGGCTAGTCACTGGCTTCCCACCGCGGCGGCCCGGGTTCGATCCCGGGTCTGGTCAAGTGGGATTTGTGGTGAACAAAGTGGAGCTGGGGCAGGTTTTCTCCGAGTACTTCGGTTTCCCCTGCCAATCTTCATTCCACCAATTACTCCACATTCACCCTCACCTATCATCTGGGGCTGGTACAATAGACCAGAAGTGGCCGCAGTGCAAGGGACTTCGTCCCACCCCACTAGCAATAATAAAAAAAAGATAATACAGAGGAGGAAGGCTTGCTTATCTCGATTGGCCCTGAGTTTAAATTTCTGAATATGCATACGTTCGTAAATCATAAGTAGAGATAATATAATTCAGTCATTACAATTTTCGATATCAATAAACAGATTCTTGTTTAATTAAGCACAGACACTTCCTTACCTTTATCAGTAATAAAATCTGACATCATAATGTTAACCAAGAACTTTTAAGTAGAATTCTTAATTCTTCTGATGAAGATATTTCCATGTTAGAAATTGAATTCCTGACAATGATATTCTTTGGCCGTTGTTTGGTTCAGGGAAGTTTCGTAAAATATTCCCGCCTCCGACTTCACATAGAAACCTTCAAAGTGACTTTCCAACGCATTATAACGTGATCCCCCAACTTTCCCACGGAGCGGCATTATTGCCTAGAAACACGACTGCCGGCACTGAAAGACTGACACGAAAGTTCAAGACATAGATTTCCTTTGTTTAAGTCACGATATGTCATAACTGAGGAGCCGGGGTAGCGCAGTTGGTATAGCGACTGGCTACTGGACGACGGAGGGCACAGAGTTCGCGTCCCAGTACGGTAAACAATTTTCTTTTCTCCACGTCGTCCAGACCGGTTCTGGGGCACACCCAGCCTACTGTCCCATGGGTACAGGGGGCTCTTTCCCCGGAGGTAAAGCGGCCGAGGCGTGGAGCTGACCACTCTCCTCCAATTAGTGCCGAGGTCAAGGGAACGTGGATCTATACACCCACGCCCCCATACGCCTTCATAGCGTACGTGTAAGTGCTTAATTAATTACAGGGACTTTACAATTTTTTACCTTCTATGTCACACATTATTATACGTAGTAAGGCTGTCAACAGACCCGTACTGGCATTTCATTAATCTTGTTGGGGTGAGACTGAGTCCACTTGGTACTTCGGCCACTACCGGCCTATTGTACTGGTCCCAGAAAATAGATGGTGATTGTGGAACAATTGGTGGAATGAAAATTGGCATGGAAAACCGAAGTACTCGGAGAAAATCTGTCCCAGCGCCACTTTGTCCACCATAAATCCCACACGACCAAGCCCGGGCTCGAACCTGGGTCGCCGCGGTGGGAAGCCAGCGACTAACCGCCTGAGCTATGGAGCGGCCTTACTGGCGTTCACTTGTTCAGTTTTGAAGTCGTGGCGATCCGCGATACTGTACCTCCAAGCTGAAGAAATAAATTGGATTAGAAGTAACGTAATATACTATGCTACGAGACGGTTTCATGAAACAAATATATTACAAGTTACGGAACACTGACAATTAGTTTTAAACTGTTTGAAATCCACGCATGTTACATTCACCCTACGCAACCAAACCTTCAGGGCAGTGTAAATGGGCAATGTTGATCTATCCCAGGAAAATGAAGTGAAATACCTGGCCATGCATCTCGATAGAAGAGTGGCATGGGCAGGGCACATCAAAACCAAAAGAAAGCAGCTCAGCCAAAAAGCGAAACAGATGAACTGGCTACTCGGAAGAAGATTGGCACTGCCAATAGAAGGCAGACTCCTCCTGTACAAAGCAGTACTCAAACCCATATGGACCTATGGAATACAGCTATGAGGGATAACCTCCAATTCCAATACTGAAACCTCCAGCTCTTTCAATCCAAGGCTCTCCGATCCATTCTGAACGCACACTGGTTCATGAACAACCACAGGGTCCACGAAGATCTACAAATGAACACAGTGCTCAGTGAAATAAAAAAGTGGAATATCAAATACTTAAGGAAAATAGAAAGCCACGCTAATGCACTGGCAGTGAGCCTACCAGACAATAGCGAAACTGCATATAGACTGAAAAGATACACCGTCCTAACTCTACCAGACAGAGCTGAGTAAAACCCCAATTTAAGCATTAAAACGATGCCTTAATGAACAGAAATGTATGAGTTACGCCACGAGCCAGTACTTATTGAACATATACGTTTATTGCAGATTATATATAATAAATATGTGGGGGAAAATTATTTGAAGTCGCAGATCTTGATTTAATATCCGGAGTAGTTTACTAAGCCTATCAAGCCGCTTCTTTTATTTATTTAATTTTATTTACTTACTTATATCTGGGGGCACGCGGTAGCGTAGTTGGTTGAGGCATTATGCTACAATCCGGAATGTTGCGGGTTCGAGTCCCGGTGAAGTAGATTCTTTTCCCAGTTTACCTAACCCTTACAGCCGCACTATGGCCCTGAGGTCGACTCAGCCTCTAACAGAAATGAGTATCATGAATTTTCCTGAGAGGTAAAGGACGGCCAGCGTGTAAAGCTGAAAACCACACCGTCATCTGTGAGCCGATTGTCTAGATAATGTGGGAGCCTCGACGTCTCACAACCCTATGGGCCTCAACGTCCTGTTACAGGGATAGCTTTACCTTTTACCTTTACTTATTTGCGGTTTATTTAACGACTCTGTCAGCAGAGCACAATACATGGCCTACGTTAACCATGGAGGATCAGTGAAAGAACTGGAAAGAATGTCAATGAAAGAGGTTGCACCTATTTTGGGATAATATCCCAAAATTTGACTGGATGGACTGAGCAAAGCCATGAAATACCTGTCAGGAATACCAGTCTCCGGGCCGAGATTTGAACCCTGGACCTCCCGAATATTGAACAGGAGAGCCACCAACTCGACGGCGACGCTCGATGCCCCTGTCACAATCACTGGTGCTGCATTACACATACTCTCACTGAAAACGAAACATAACTGATGATACAAAAGTCCTGCTGGTCCAAGTTTCTCGGTTCCTAAGTCTGTTCTCCTTCCTATAGGCCAGTACAATGAACAAGCTACATCTGTTCCACGATTGTAGGAGGAGGTGGAGGGATGTTCTATATTGGGAACGCTTGGTTAGTATCAAGCGCTCAGCTATGTGGCCTATTTGTTTACTTTGTATCGACATCACAGAAGACAGGGTGTCGATTGGAATAAACAGGCGCAAGAAGAAAGCCGTCCTTCAGATACTGCTTCCTCTGATCTGTATAAATTAACTCCGCGTCCCCATTGGACACAGCTAGGCCAAATAAACTCGATAGAGTAAATTGGCACACAGTTCAAAACCAACATTTTTCTTTCGCTTCTACACGTGTCTTAAACTACGAAAAATAAACTGTTTCTGTCACTAAACAGATGGTGTGTTATTAAAAGTTACGGTATTCTAACAGAACACCCATTTTATTTGTATCAATGAATCACTTTGATTTATATGAACTTAAGCTATACGAAGCCTTGGCAGTGAAACACAGAGGAATAAATTATCCAGGTTCATCATGATATGCAAACAGATCCTGTAGGTGTGTTGACCCGGGTTTGGGTTTTATTTTCATCGACTGTCGATTCATCATCAAATTATGGCTTTTCGTATTTTTTTTTTTTGCCACATATATTGTGGAGCGTCGAATGAGAGGGTGTTTGTGAATTGTAAAATGCATAGGGCGTAGAAGTAAGTTATCCTGGTCTATTTCAAAACACTATCCCGGAACTTTCTTCTATTCACTGAGAAAAATCACAACATAAAACATAGAACAGCCTGTCCCCGGGGCGTTCTTCAAACCCGGGACCTCAAGAGTAAGATCACAAAGTGTTAATCCGTCATCTATCATTTCCACCTCAAAGCACAGGCTAACTCTTTCGACAAGATTTCTTCTGGCGAAGCATAAATTTTGTTGAAGAAAGCAGTCTTCTGGGATGTGGCGCCGTGTATATATTGTGTTAACCGACGTTTAGGAGGAACAGACTCTTGAACCTGCTCACGCTAGTTCGCTCGCGGATTTCTTCTTGTCTTCTACCTTGAAGATGGAGGCGATACGTTCCTCCGAAACGTCGGTTAACACAATATATACACGGCGCCACATCCCAGAAGACTGCTTTCTTCATAGCCACCGCCGTGAAAACCTCAAATCTTATATAAAGTTTGTTGATTCCAATAATAAGCCATATAAATACAGCGATTGACAACGTCGCAAATACGTCATTATACAGTATGGCATCAGTTTCTGTATTAATACACGTACACTGAACTAGTTTACGTAACAGCTACTAAATAATGAACGTCGGGGTTCGTGTCAACAAACAGAGGTCTCTTATGAAGCAGGAAATTGGAAAGGGAGAATGAAATATATTCACAAATGCTTTGTCGTAACTGGAGAAAGCTACAGTCGAATTCGAAAGGGTACGTTCCATGCTGTATTCGCAATGTATATGTACTGCAAGTAAAGAAAACATCAGCAGCAGGCGACGGCGCGGTTAGAGAACGGGGAAGTGTTTTCCGAGCGGTACACACGATGCCTATCTTCATTGCAACAGCTGTATGCTAAGACATACAGGATACTGCGGAAAGACGCCATGTTGTAAACCACGCTTTGAACTCTTCTCGCTACTCGCTTCTCATTTGTTTAAATGCAATCTGTGGACATTTCGAACGGAGCAGTTTCAGCATGAGACTGTCTACAGAATGTTTCAATGAAACGCATTTGCGTTCAAGAGTAGATGATAGTTCACATGAATTTAAATAAAATAGAGCTAATGAAAGACTTACAGCAATTTGAATATTGATTTCCGTTTAAATTACCTGTAATTGTCAACTAATTCTCCTGAAGGTGGCAACTGGGTTGGCTGACAAAATTAAACCTTAAGTATAGACTAAATTATTTGTCTGAAAACATACTAAAAGACATTCTGGGGTTAAAGAGTTGATAAAAATAGGTCACCTATACTTGATTATTATAAAAATTTATAGTCACACACTTTATATGATTCAGAAAGTGGTCTACAACTGACAGAGAAGAAGGAAAGTCAGTAAACAAGTCACAAACGGAAGTGCGACCAAAACAGCTCTAACGGATGTAATAGGTTTTTTATGAGTATCACTAGGTGGTAGCACAGCCCAGCTATGTGATAGTCTAGGTAGCAGATGTGCATGCGCATGTTCAGAGGCTGGTTTCAGTAGTCAAAAATGGTGACCGTGCTTGAGGAGTATAATACCGAAGAGCAACGTTCTGTCGTGCGCTTTTGTGGGCAAAAGGGTTCCATGCAAGGATGTTCATAGAGAAATTTTGTCTGTTTACGGTGGGAAGTGTTTGTCGCGTGGAGCGTTTTACATCTGGTTCGAGAAGTTCTCTCGAGGACGTTCGAAAGTCGTAGATGATACCCGACCACTTCGCCCTGTTGAGATTGCTACAGAAGCAACTCTCCAGCGGGTGGGAGAGTTGCTTCGAGTTGACAGGAGGATAAAGAGAGACAGTGTGGCAACTGCACTAGGTTGTTCTCACGGTTTAGCATGCAGTATAATGCATGATAGTTTGAAGCTTCGGAAAGTGTGCGCACGGTGGTTTGACAGAGAACTCAAGGATCGAGTACAAATGAACCGAATGGGTCTGTCCTTGCAACATCTTTTATGGTATTCAGATTAAACAGAAGATACGGTCAGCAGGATTGTAACTGGCGACGAATCAGGGGTGCATCACTTGGTTTCAATAGTTTCGCCTATGACGAAGAAGTTGAGACGGAGGCGCGGAAGTGACTCAGAAACAGTGGAAAAGAACGCTATGGTGCGGGTTTCGACTCCCTGGTAGAAAATGGGGCAAGTATATCAATGTTGTTAGAGGATATTTCGAGAAATAAATGTTTTCCTTAGTTTCGAATATCACATGCTTTAAGTTTTATATCATATACGACCTCTTTTCTGTCTCCCCCGTATATATAATATTCTGTTGCAAGAGAGATGGACGGACTCAGAAAGCTCCCTCTCACAAATCAAGACAGCTTAAACATAGGCCCATCAGCTGCTGTTTTCAGATGTTCTGAAGGTAAGGTGTTTAACAGTAAAGCATATGAAACTTGTCTTGTAATTACACTCTATGAAAGCAATTAGAAGACTGTAGCTGGAGTTTAGGTTGCTGTTATTAACTGCCTCACCAAGGCATAGAGGAAATAATTAACATAAAATTTAAGAAATAAATTTTGAAGTTTATAATTTTATTACACATTTCATGTTATCTCTATACCATTCCGTAACATTATCTTTGCCCAAATATACTTATTTTGGAGTGTATTACGATTCTCACAGCCCTTGATGAACTAAACTCGTTCATATCTTACGTAAAATGAAGTACAGTTTTCCATACCGTAAAGGTTCGGCCACACAGAGCGCTACGTACGCTACGTACGCTGTGTACACTCTGCGACGCAGCTAACATAGGGAACATAGCGTACGTAGCGCTCTGTGTGGCCGAAACTTAAGAAGTGTGCCAAGGGGCTTAGTCCCACTGCACTAGCAATAAAAGAAAATAAATACAAAACTGAATGACTGACACGTAATACTCCTTCATATCATTAAATATGCAGGCTACTTTACTCTAACCGATCGCATAGCGTGTCTCTCAAATTACGTAATAAACCTTCACTTCAACAATCTCATTTTCGTAGAGTTATATCCTCGCTCTTCTGAGATACAACACCGTGTAGTCCACTGAAAGTTAAAAAACATTTCGCCTCCATCTTCAGGGGTAAGGAGTAAGTCACCAGGTCGTAAGTAGCTTTTCTTCCTGGTTTCTCGCTTAGCCCATTATTCGACGATGATGATTGAAGCTAAATGTTCCCCCGCAACGTCGGTTGAATTTCAACGGATTACACTACGTTACAGACCTGAAGAAAGAACCCTCCATAACCACCGCTGTGAGAACCTCATACCCTACAAATCTTAGTTTAGGAGTAAAATTCTCCGGCCTTTTCTAAATCAGAAGTAAGGTCTGAAGACAGTAAGCAGAATTATATTGACGAGGGATCGGCCCATGGCAAGGCCTCTACCTATGCAGAACACAGACACGAAAAAAAAAGCAGGGATACAAACCGTAGGATTTGAGACCACTATCCCAGCTATAGAGAGTAGACAGTCCGTGCCTTGTACCGCATGACCCCTGAAATAAATAGCAATCTGTTGCCATTCATACGACAAAATACTTAAAAACTTGTTACATGTAAAGATTGACATTAATTGAGGCTATAGAAAGTGGTTACAAGGGCCTTGTGTGAGAGTTCTATTCATATACTTTATTCACTCTTTTCATACACTATTTATCTTAATCTGCCTTGAACTGTTCGCAGAAGTATAAACTGTTTCTGGCGCTTCGTGCAATTACACACACATTTATCCTTCTTTTATTTAGCGTAGTTGGCTGCGGCACTATGTTACAAGCCGGAAGGTCGAGGGTTCGAATCCCGATGAGGTCATTAGATTTTTCAATTTACCTAATTCTTCCAGCTGCACTATGGTCCTGATTTCGACTCAGCACCTAACAGAAATGCGTACCACGAACCTTCCTGGGGCTAAAGGGCGGCCGGCGCATAAGACTGACAACCTCACCGCCATCTGTGACGACTGACTGGCTGACTAGTGAAGACCGGGAATCCCAGTGCGTCTGCAGCGGTGAACCGTACATTGTGTAAATCAGTGAGAGAGCTGTGTTAATTTTAATTAAGAGAGAGAGTGTAATCGAAATGCTGATAAATCCAATCATCCGAACTAGAACCCGTTATTTTCGTCACGCGTACCACCCAATACGTGTCAATATCTGGAGTTTATGTAGGCCTTTGCTTTAAATTACCTCTATATTACTTACACTAGGCAATAACTTCCCAATTTTACGTGTTCTATACTGTGGTATAAAGCACAGAGTGTCTTTACAGAACAATTCTAACGACTGTCTACTGGTTATTTATAGCGCCACCACTACACCAGGCCTACAAATGGCACTTAACGGTTTTTCTTCT